GTGAAATAATTTTTCCTATTCTAGCCGAACCCTTCTTCTCTTCTTTTTTCTCCTCTTCTTCTTCTCTACTTTAACCTAGAATCGAATAGAGATTTCACAAAGCACAAGCACAAAAGTTACTTTAGAGGTTTGTAGGTTCATGTAAAACAAAAAAAAAAAAAAAAACAAAAGAACTTGCTCAGGAGGAATAGAAATCTGTAGGCTTCCTATTTTTAGATTCCATTGCCTAGGTGAGGCCTAGGTGCCCCATGGTCACCTAGCCTTGCCTTGGCGCCTTGAAGACTATGCTCCAAATCATAACAAGTATAGAACATACGGTTAATATAGGTTTTATTAGCAAAAACGCTATGGTTCCCAAACACATTCAAGAACCGTGAGGAAGATATGCAGGAAAAGCAGTATCCTATAAGTGGTCGTCAAAAAATTTGTACATCAATGATGTTATTGGTCCTCAGTCTTCACTGGTTGAATCATATGTGAAGCCACTAAAACTGACAACTAAATGTAGGTAGCAAGTTGGATACTGATGCTGAAGTTATGTACATACAACATAAATAGCTTTGACAAGATATAGAATATCCACTAACCAAATCTTTGCCCACCATCTCTAGTGCATCTAACATTCAAATAATGAGCATCAAACTATTTCTTTATCCCACTTTTTCTCCCCAAGATTCCTGGGCATGCAGAAACCAAAATGTACACTTGAATTTAAAATCTAGATCAACAAACATGAAGTGAACATATGGCATGTGGTACAGCTCTTGACAATCAAAAATGAAACCATAAATTGGGCATTAGAATCCTATATGATGGCAATGGCTTTTGGCTATGTTTAATCAACACGTGCACACACACACACATGAGAGAGAGAGAGAGAGAGAGAGAGAGACCCTTCATTTTCCAATGAACTTGTCAATCTGTATCACACAGTGATCTGGATTCACAATCTAGGTCTCATGATAGAAGGTACACATACAAAGAAGAGAGACGGGGGAGATGGAAGGAGAGAGAGAGACCCTTGATTTTCCATTGAACTTGTTTCTCAGTATACGAATAGCGGTAACTCCACCAACATCACTGAAAAAATCACGTAGGTGTTCCTCCTTGGCCTGTTCAAGGTGTTAAAGTTAGTATCATACAGTTTAATGTCAATACCAAATAGCCATGTTGTGTGGTGAGAGAAAGCAACTTGCCTCAAAGCTGAGATTTGAAACAAACACAGTGCACTGATCTGTGTACTTTGTTTTCTTTGATGTAGAACCATTGATCCTTTGCTCATCTGTGGGTTCAAGTTTGTTGGTCTTGCCATCAATAGGTTTCGCATCATCTTCTTCTGTTGACTTCTTTGTTGTATCTTTCACCAATGCTCCCTCTGAGTGATATGCTGCATATTTCTGCCGCTTCAGTTGAGGTTGTTCATCCGTTAATCTTCTACCTGATTTCCTTTTTTGGGAAACAACATCTGCAGGAATCTCTTTCGCAGTTGTAATAGAAACATTCTTGGATTCCTGTTGTGCTCTAAATAATCGAAGCTCTTCCAGGCGTGGAGTCACCTAGGAAGAAAAGGAAAGAAGTTATGAACCAACTGAAACTAAACGAAAAAGAAATCATTGCCCTTTTTCAGTTCAGATTCTCCACCAAGAAAATCTGGAAGCAATATCAAGGAAATAAAACACAGATTTGATGTAGCATTATTACTTCATGAACACAATTATATCATTTCCCACTGCACAAACAACCATATTTCTTGTATTGCAACAATTTCCAATATACAAAGAAAAATATCAGTGTTACACCATAACAGATCCTAAACCATCCAAATTATCTTAGTTCCATTACATTTAGCATGACACAAATATTAATGTATTTGGCTTGAAACCCTGAGTTTGAAACCTGGTATCCGGATTGAGGATATCCTATATCTGCTTTCCCTACTAATTTCCAATCTTTAGTCCCTTTACTAGGAAGTGTTAAACAGTTCAGTTCCAGTAATTAGGTATGCCAAATTCCAATAGAGGAATACAAGCATATTTGCATGTCTTTCACATGTTTCGACTAATTATGCATATACGAGTATCAAGCTATTTAAACAAACAAAAACAGTATTATATGCTTAACATAATCATCATCACGATCATCTAAGCCTTGTCCCAACTTCCAATTAATGTAGTCTAAAATGTTCTCAACCAGTGGATAGACTTGGGTGGTCTAATCCTAACAAGGTTGACATAAACACACTACATAAGTAATGGGGTGGACTGTCTCATCTACTAGGGTTGTGACCCCAAGTGTGGGAATGGATGTCTACTGAAACACTGAACCAGACCAGGTTTTAGATTATTCTGGGGCTTCTGGATAGGTGGCTTAGCTGAAGCATTGCTTGTGATCCCTGACTTGATAATGGTATTCACCTGGATATTCAGCTAAGCTGCTTTTGATACATCAATCAGTGGCACCCTTTTTGGGGTCAACATTTGGGTATGTTGAAGTAGTTATGAGGGGTATCTAGGCAAGTGGTAATTGTAATGGGATCAGTCACTGTGTCAAACAAAGAGAATATCTGTGAACATACTACCTTATTCAGTGGATAAATAAAACTATAGATAGTGGATTCAAAAGTTGTTGAAATCTGTTTTGCAAAAGTATATGTGTATATTTAAATAGTTTATTTTGAAAAGGTGTTTGCAAAATAATTCTTTCCCAGGATCCGCTAATAAGAGAGTGCGACACTGGGCTGTGTTTAGGGAATAAGTCCTTCCCCAGATCCAATGATGCCTATTGATGGCTGATAAGTAATGTAGCAAATGTCTTATTAGGCCCAAAACTCTAACAGACATTTAATTGAATTGGACCACTGGACTTGGACTCATAGGGTGGATGAGGCCCAAGTAGCAAGTATTAGATACTAATGGGCTAAAATGTTCAGGCCCATAATCTAACAGGTGATTCACTCTTTAGTTAGAGTGAGTTTGGCCAAATGGTCTCAACTCACTTTGATTGAGTAAGAAGGCCCAATTGGTATGTGGGCCCCATGCCATACAATAATGTCTTCTTTTGTATACGACCTATTGGAGGTCGTAGTGGTACAACCAATGTTGCAAGACTTCTAGTTTGACTAGAAACATGACTATTCAAACTAGTACTGAATTAGTTGCATAACACAAACCACCCAACACCCAATTGGATTGGGACTTTTCCAGATTAGAGACATAATAGAAGCCTTTAAATACCAATTAAGGCTGGAAATTCAGGTTACACATTCAGGCATTCTAGACAAGACAATTAAGTCCAAAAAACCCTAGCTTCCATCTAGGATCAAACTTGCAATTGTGCAGACTCATCCATCAGCTAAAGATCCAACCTTTCTTAATGTTTTGGATCTATTCTCCTACGTGATACTTCGATTCTTGAACCCTAGTTTTGGAAAGGTTTTGAACAGAAAAAAACAACCTTGTGCATGTCACAACTTTCAGGATTATCGGCTTCTAAGTATTGAGGTTTTGATCCGGCCTCGCGACGTCAAATGCAGTCCCGAGGTCAAGCTATCAACCTCTAAATGTGAAGGTTCTGGTCTGACTTCACGAGGTCAAATTGTCAAAGATGAGTTGATACTTATAAGTGTTGTCTGTGTCGTGTTCGCAATATTCTATCTTGTGAAACTTTTCCTCACGACCTAGAGAAGCTCCTCTGCCAAGTTCCGCTTGGCCTCACATGGTTATGTTATTTTGCTTGACAGTCGCAAACTACAAGTTGATCTCGGTCTTTGCTTTTAGCTAGGATTTTAAGACCTGAAATATAATTCCACTATCTCACAGGAGCTACCCTTAGGTAACATGAATGACTTCATTTCTAACCATATCCTTTCTATTTTTCCCTCTCACCCATCAGAACATACGCATTTCTAACTCTCTCACAGGAGTTACCCATCAGAACATAGTTTTCCCTCAGTCTTTGCTTTTTTTTTTCTTTTTTTGGTGAAAGACATTTTGTTTGTTGACTGCCCAACACTATGCTCCATACAGTCATAGTTGTCAAGGCATCTAGGTGATTATAGGCTAAAGCAGGGCACCTAGTCACCTAGCTGCATGTTTCTTTATTAAGAACATTATATTTCCTAAGAAAAATGGCAAATCATCATATCTGAAAGATTTTCATAAAAATATTTTAAATATATTAATTTCATATCAATTAGCAATTAAAGAAAGCTATTAAGTTATATGATAAAAATTCAAGATGGAAAACAAGGATGGACTTGCTATTTTGTTTAATTCATGAGAGGGAGCTCTATACTTCTGTTCATTCTTTCTTTCTTTTCCTCTTCTCTAAACCCTTTGATCCTTTAAATTTCAATAGTAAAACACTAAAACAAAGCATAAATGATACATACAGTATATAATAGAACATATTAATAAGATGTAGCAATATAGATGATATTATAATATGGCACCCGCCTTGTCATTTTTGTCGCTTAGTCGTGTGCCGACTAGGCGACACCTTCACAACTATGCATACAGCATTGCTGCCTTACAACTATTTTATTGAATTTTCCTAGTCATTTTGCCCTCTCTCTCTCTCTCTCCATAAACTTAATTCTACATTTAATCCTTCCGTAGTTTCATCAGTTAATACCATGTTATCAGCAAATACCAAGGTCCCAAGGGACCTCCTCAGAATATGGTTAACCAATTTATCTATTATTAGTGCACGAATAAGTTCCAAGCCGTGGTGAAGATCCACCATAACTGTAAAACCTGATGTCTCCCCTACAGGTGTTCTTGCATTGATTGTTACACCCTCATAATATCATTAGTTGGCTCCACATACCTATTCAGGATTCCTTTCTTTTCCAAAATTTACCACATTATCTTTCTAGGGACTTCATCATATGCTCTCTAGATCAATGAACACTATATGAGGACCTCTCTTCTTCTCTCTGAACATTTTTATCAATCGTCTCAAAAGAAAATAAATTCCATGGTGAATAAACTCAAATTGGTCCTCTGATATACTAACTCCATGTCATAACCTTTGCCCAATCATTCACTCCCAACTTTAGTGTGGATATGAGTTTAATCTCTCAATATTTATTATAACTTTGTATAATGCCTTTATTTTTAAATATAAACACAATAACTTTCAAATAGTTTAGTTAGCCATAATAACCCAACTTCTCCAATACCTTCCTACACTATTATTAGAATACAATCACGTCCTAACACCTTTTCCTCATCCTATTTAGCACCTCCTTTACTTTAGTAATTCTAGTTTCATGAATGTACATTTTATTTTCAATATTATTATAGTTACTAACCACTCCTTAATTAGCACACTCTACATGACTACATGTCTTTTTTTTTTTTTGATCAGTAACTTTGCAATTTTATTAAAAGAAGAATAAGAAGGTGTACATACATCCAGGACCTTAAAGGAGATAAAATTACTTATCTCCTTCCTTCTCTCTTTTTATTTTACTTCATAGTTTTTCCACCTCTCCTTGATTTCCACATCTTCTACCAAGATTCATGGATCTTCCTCTGTAACTTGACATGATTTAAATCTCGACCTTTTCTTTCTTATGTTTTCAATTTTTTCCAAGTTTTCTACATGTTTATTCTTTTGAGTATCTTTATAACATTCTCATTTTATTTTCATTATATTTTCAACCTCTTAATTCCACTACTAAGTTTCTTTAGCACTCTCTCATTGCCCTTTAGATTCTTCTAAAATGTACATTGCAACTTATACAATTAGCCATTTCAAGCTGCACATTATTAGTAATTCCATCTAAATTTCATATTCCTTCTGATATCAGCTTGTCTCTAAATTGTTCTAATTTTCCTCATTTTAGGTTTGGACACCTATTTGTTTTCTTTATTTTTCATCGATTTCCAAAGCACATCTATGACCATTAATCCATGTCATGTGGTTACACATTCCCCTAGAATAACTTTTCTATGTACTTGGCATACTAGAACAAAATTTTATGGAGTAACAGGAATATTATTGTGCCTACAACTGTTCAAATAAAATAATAGGAGTCCAAATTAGGGCCAAGTAGGAACCTTAAGATACAAGCATTATAGCCTTCCCAGTAAAAGAAATAAGAAAATTTTAACATCAAATATCACTACAATTATAGGCACTCATTATTCCATCAAATGATAAATGTTTATAAAATTTGCCTTTTTTTGTTAGTTGTAAAATTTTCCTTTGCATCCTACTCCAGCTCTACAGGTGATATTCTATTCAATCTCTCCTTTGTTAGGAATCACGAAACAAGGTAATGGAAGAGGTCACATTCAGTTATTATCTAAAATGCACCTTCATCCCCCTCCCCTCTCTAAAAGTTACCTTGACTTTTCAAAACCTCCAAAGAGCCCATTGTCAAAGATCTATCTTTAGGAGATGAATAGTTTTTATAAATTTACAACACTACCTCTCCTTTTAGGTTTGCCATGAACAAAAATTGCATCATGATGAAATTTATTGTACTACCCGTCCATCTGACATTCGGGAGTTCTCTTCATCCAAATCAAGGTTCAAAGTATTGATACATCTCTGTGTATCAGCAGAGATGTATCCTTTTTGGTTATTTTTTCAAATTTCAATTTTATATACATTTTATACATATTATTCATTAAAAAAAAGGTTCCCAAAAACACCTGTACATAGGCGTATCAGACTCCTAAAGATACAATACAATACACCCTATACGAGACATATCTAGGGGTGCTCACAGTTCGGTTAACCGAACCGTGGGGCTTTTTTTGAACCTAACCGGTACTACTGGTTTTTGGAAAACCGGTAACCAAAACCGAACCAAAGCCAGTCAGTTAACCAGTTGACCGGTTTGGTTAACCGTCAGTTTGGTTCGCCGGTTTTTCGGTTTTTAATTTTTACAATATATATTATAAAAATATATATAAATATATAATAAAAAATTATAAATATATATAAAATATTATATTTTAAATAATAGATAATATATCATATACTATAAATATATATATGTTACATATAATGCATATGTATTAATTTATAATATATACAAAATATATAAAATATACATAAATATATATAAAATGTATAGAAATATATGTATACTGGTCTGTTCAGTTAACCGCTGGTTTTCTATATTGGTTAACCAAAACCGAACCGGTACCATCGATTTATTAAAAACACCAAACCGAAACCGAACTGACCGGCTTGGTTAATCGATTTTTCAGTTCGGTTTCGATCGGTTCAATTTTTTGGTTTTTTTTTTTTTTTGCTCACCCCTAGGCATATCATATTGATACTTTGTTTGAACAATTAATTTTTTTAACTGTTTTCTTTGTTTAAACAATTATTTAACAGAAGTTCAGGGTTAATTTGGTCATTAAAAATAAACAATGGCCAACTGGTAACTGTTAATGGTCACTAACAGTCACCTGAAAGAATGTATGTAAGTTTTATTAAACAAAAGTTCTCTAACATGGGGGACTAGGGGGTCGCTATAGGTTTTGAAAAATCAGGGTAAGTTTAAAAGAAATGGGAAAAGGTGGAGAGTTTTTTATGATAACACTTAAATTTACAATGGATACAGTCCTATTTTTTAACCTCCTATTTCTAAGGTATTTCCCCATAAACTTAATTTAGCTTTTAGTCCTTTGTTGGTTTCATCAATTATTAATACTATCTCATCAGAAAATAACAAGCACCAAGGGATTAACTAAAAAAGAATAAAACAGAGGCACCATGGGACGTCCTGAATATGTTTAGTCAATCCATCCACAAGTAGTGCAAATAAATGATGACTTTGGGCAGAGCGATGGTAGGGACCTAATATTTTATACTTGGCTTGCAATGTGTGGTTATGTCATTTCAGTGTATGGTGTACCTTCTTCTTGACTGTTGATCATACTCATCATTTTCACAGTAATATTTTACAATAGTCTCTTTCCACATAAAGATGAAATTAGAGAAAGAAATTTATCACAAGTAACAAACTTAAATAATATAGATTTTTCTATCAGCCATTTAAACAATTTACATCATCCTGCATAACCTTCAAGAGCAAATCTTGAACAATAAATCAAGTATCTAAACATGTATTTCCATTCATCTGAATAGACTACCATACCCATCTAAATTTCTAAAAATAATTACATCACTAAATAAAATCCATCTCAAGAAAGCAATGCTAAATAATATTAAAGAGCAAAGTATAAAACCAAAATGGCAGAAATTCTAAATGAGGCAGAAACTCTGAAGTTTCTTATTTATCTTGAAAACAAAAAAAAAAAAAACTCTAAGTAAGGCTTGGACTAGAATATTACCTTCCTTACAGCAAAGTCAAAATCTTCCAATGAGCCAAACTTCCTCTCAAAACGCAACCAAGAATGACATATGTCCTGAATAATTTTGTGTTTTAGGAAATGAAGGTATCATCTAAGCAATAGTACAGTACATGTCACTTCAAGAACAAAACCTAAAAAAGATTAAGTTCATTAAAATGTATACAGCTATACAAATGGGTCACTAGGCATAGGATATTTTAATACTCGGTACTTAATGCTTCACCCTAATAAAAATAAGAGAATGGAGCACCAACCACTCCACTTTTTGGCTCTCTAGTATTTTAATCTCCTGTCTCTTTGTTCTTAGTATTCTTCTATGGCAGATAACAAAATTCAATTCTGACACTTGAAGGAGCATAGTCAGGGCATTTAAAACAATTCATTCCAATGCAAAACAAACTGTAATGGTTGCAAAACCAATGGTTGCAAAACCACTTTATAGACAATATGCAAATATCCTTTTTATAATGCAAGATGATTACTACCAATGGTTGCAAAACCACTTTTACAATATGCAAAAGAGAAACAGAGTAGAATGTTTTATTTTTTGATAGGATAACAGAGTAGCATGTTTCTTTACAAACAAACAGAAAAGATATAAATAAATAAGCTTGACACATCAATAAATAAGAAATACATGATGCATATATTATGATCAGAAAAAGACTACAAATTGAAGGAGATTTTTAAGTGAATATGACTGGATGCTTAATTCAGATAGACCTTAGCATTGGACATATTTCATATAGACAATAGATGTAGGGTTACAAGGATGAATATCCCATTCAAAAGGATCTCAAGGTCCGCAAATATCCTTTTCTACACCATGTACCAAGCGGTAATGAGCTTTGATTTTTTTTCATGTCTGATAAGAATTTATATATTAAGTAGGCGCATGGGACTGTGGGCATTTTAGACACTTGTTTAAAAAAGTACTCTTGTCTTGGTCTGTCTTTGGGAGCCAACTCCTCCTGCTCCTTGTGGGATCCAGTTCCGGAGAGATATCAAAAGAAGCTATCCTCCTGGAAAGCTAGATACAAGTCCAAGGGAGGAAAGCTAACTCTAATTAAAAACACCATCTCCAGTCTTCCAAGACATTTCCTCTCTTTATTTAAGATCCCTGCCAAAGTTGCATGTAGTTTGGAAATATTTCAATTTCAAAGAGACTTCCTCTGGAAAGGGTGGAAAGATGACAAGGAAATCCAGCTCGTTGACTGGGCCAAGATATGCTCCACAAAACAGAATAGTGGCCTCTGTCTTTACCAGACAAGGAAAATGAATACAGCTCTTTTAAGCAAATGGCATTGGAGATTCAATAATAAAAGGAACAATTGGTGGAGACAACAGATAGCAGGAAAATATGGGCAAGATTTTGGAGGTTGGAACACTTTTCAAGCCTCTCATTCTACCTCTACTGGAGTCTGGAAGCAAAGGAGCTCGTCTGCGGTTTTGCTTGGACTTATGGTGTGGTGATAGAACTTTGGCTAATACCTACTCCAATCATTTCAATGCAGCCATTAACAAAGAAGCAACAGTAGCAGAAGTTTTTTCTAATGATGGAGCAAACAGTCATTGGGCTCCAGCGTTCAGGAGAAAACTTTTTGACTGGAAATTGGAAATTTAGAAACCTTGTTTCTCCAACTTCACCAATTTCATCCCGTCACAACAGAAGAGGGCAGTACATTCTGGGATGGGACAAGAAAGAAAACTTTTCTGTCAAGTCCATGGTGCAGCATCTTACTTTGGATAGGCCCAAGTTTCCTCATAAGGTAGTTAGGGCTCAGAAAGTGCCATCTAAAGTGGCTTTTCTGGTGAGGACTGTTACATATGGTAAATGCCTCTCTTACCCCATGTACAGCCCACTTTCCTGTTAGTTGTATGCCTCAAAACCAATACTGTGGAAGGAAGATTTGTACTGTTCACACTTCATTAATAAATGGCCATTTCATCATTCATGTTTTCTAATATTACAATTTGCATGAATAGTCCAAAGCAACTATGTCAAGATAATGTATTCTTAAGTGTTTTAAGAATTTAAGATATGCTTATCTTGGTACAAGATATTTATATGGTTCCTGGTTGGAGGATCATCAAGAGGGCTTTGATGATCCAGATAGAGTGGCACATATTATGCTTGCCTTAGTGGAGTGATGAATCTCAAGACACTTATGTAAAAACACTACAGAAAATATGTGGGTGCTTGTTAGAGAACAAGTTCACTGAACTACTCCCATTAATAGAACAGTTACATAGAGTCTTTTGTGAATAATAAATTCCATCATCCCAATTGTGTAGATAATCCTCAGACCTGAGGCAACATGGATACCTTGTGCATGGGCTTCCATAGTTTGACAATGCAAACACTTATACCCTAACATAGTTTTCAAGGCACCAAAGCAAGGCTAGGTGATGGACTTTTTATTCAAAAAACAAAGATCCTATTGTAGTTCCCAAGGTACCATAATCATATTTACTTAATAATTATTCATAATTTTCATAAGAAAAGTACAAAGTTCCATGTTTAAGTATAGAAAATCAACATACTCATGAGAAGAAAAAGAAAGAAAAGAAAATTCAAAAAATATAGGGGTTGAACCCTTATTTTTGTTATTGGAAAAGAAGAAAAGAAAAAGTAGTAGTAGTAGTAGTAGTAGTAGTAGTAGTAATAGTAGTAGTAGAAGAAGAAGAAGAAGAAGAAGATATGGAAGAAGAAAATGTGTTGATTAGAGTCATTAGACAAAATGTTCAGTTCTTCCTTGCTTATTGATTCAGGTTTTTAAGTCTTTGGGGGTTCAATGCAGCATTTAGCAATGTTTGTGTTGATTAAACCCTAACAAATAAGAAAATAATAAAAAAAAATAGTATATAAACACACAAAATGAATATTTTACTTTAATAATGTCTATTTTAAAATTATAATCTCAAAAAAATAAAGAATAAAAAAGTATTAATAGAAAGTACAAAACTGCTTGGTGAATAGCCCAAGCAAGCCTCCAAGGGTGCCTTGTCGCCTAGGCGTTGCCTTGCAACTATGTACCCTAATTAGGGGCATAGCCATGCACATGCCGGCTATGTTGATTGTAAATGGTGGCATGTGAATGCATAATATGGGACCTATCACTCCATGAGGGAGAATGTCCTATCCGACTAGGATTAGTGTTGCTCAAGAAGTCCTTGGCCAAGGCAACATGGTTTATAAAAAGAATTCCAAGTTTTACCATGAGTCATCATCAATCTAGTGGGAATATAACTGAGCCAATGGGGTTTGACAAAACCACCATGACCCTCTACTCTTTCGAGACATTGTATGATAGAAGAATTCATCTGTAACATAACTATAGATGGAAATGTTCAATCTGCAAAATTCAAGCTATTATGATAGTCATGACATACTGCTAGGTGTCACTCAAGACTTGTGAAACCCCTATGAATAATGGTCTATTATTCACATTCAAGGGAGAACTAAAAGAGTTTTAACTCAATTCAGCTGGAAGGAGTTCCATCAGGATTGCTAAAGGAGTTTGACATCATTTGCCACTGCCTAACAAGGTTGAACCTAAGAGGTCACACGCATGGTTTAAAGTATCGATACACACGAACAGGCATATTGGCTGTTTCGATACTTCATAACTTTTTTTTAGTTTTTTTATTCAAAATTGTTTCTGGGGGCCGGTTTTAGGTATGCCTACCCCGTGAAAGTGGCCAAATTCCAAAATACCCCTTATTTGGGGTTTTGGAGATCTACCAATACGATAAAACACGCCCAATACAGGATGTATTGTATCAAAATTTTGAACCACACATTAAGGGGCAAACATAGACAAAGCATGAAGTAGAGGTATAATCACTAAGAGGGGTCTTAGTGAAGGGACCTAATTGTAATTATGGGAAATCTTATGAGATAAGTAATCCTAATTGCAATAAAGCTTAAATCTATTTAAGCATTACACAAGCAACAGCAAGTACAACATCAACCCAAAATCATTTGGGGACATTCATATGTAACATCATCCCTCGGGCTACCTCAAGGAGGTGTCTGTTTTTTCTTTCTGCAACACCGTTTTGTTGTGGTGTTCTTGCAAATGAGATTCTATGAATCGATTTATGGGAAGCAAAAAACTCATTTAGCTCACTATGGAAATATTCATTGGCATTATCGGATTGAAAACTCTGAACATCCACATGGAACTAAGTAAACACCATCCTTTGGAAATCTCTTACGATCTTTGGGACTTCGTCTCTGCTACACATGTATAACGGGAGAAATCGTCAATCAATGTGATAAAGTACTTATACCTGCCCTACAAAGTTATGGTAGTAGGCCCCCACACATCAGAATACACAATATTGAAAGGGAAACTTGATCTTTTATTACTTGAAGAAAAAATTGTTCTACATTACTTGCTCAAAGGACACATGACCTAACCGATTATGCCACAAAACAATTTGACCTTTATTTGACCAACTATGAGACTCTGAAGATGACACCAAGAAACCAGCCTTGCTGTCAAAAGTGTAGAGACCATTCACTAAGCTTCTTTTACCAATCGTCCTCCCAAAAGTTAGGTCCTAAAAAATACATGAATCAGGGAAAAAGGTTACACTGCAGTTTAATGAATTTGTGATACTACTAATAGAAAGAAGGTTGATAGGAAGCTAAGGGACATGCAAAACATTATTTAGGTTAAGTCCTCGAGGGAGGAATATTGATCCCCGACCTCCAATGGAAGAAAAAGAGCCATCTGCAAGTCTCACTTTTATCCCTTCCTGACAAAAGGTTATAAGAACTAAATAGGTTTGGCTTACCAGTTATGTGATTAGAAGCCCCTTAGTCAATGATCCAGGGGGAATTTGTGGTTGTGGAGACATGGAAGGCAGAAGCTACATTACCTAATGTAGACGCGAATCAAGTAGAAGGGTTACTAATAACTCTGCATTTTGATGCCTTAAGGGCATCAATTCAGGGGTATTTTTGGCCTTAGAATAGTCAAGATATACCCTTTTCCCAATTAAATGCAATGTTGTGGTCTCTAAGGGTCTCTGTGCAAATTTTG